TACCCTGAAGTATCGAGAGTAAAACCCGTTCAGGATGTCTCTGTGATATACCTTCTGGATCGCCTGCTTCTGTAAGAGGGTGAGAATCTCTTCTTCTAGGATGGGATCGAAGGATGTAGGCCGGACCCATCCTAGAGGAGGCAATTCTATAAACTCCAGGCGGTAGCCTGAGTTTATAATGTTCAAGACCCAGGTGTCGTGAGTGATCATTAGCCAATGCTGAAGATAAGGAGACAGACGTGTCGGTAGGTGAGGGGTCCGGATGCGCACGGGAGTAAGTCAAAGATATTGTTTAGACTTCCGGTTAGAAGGCTTGAAAGATTGGCGCCTATTACCCTGGGGCTTAAAGCTGGACGCTGAAGAAGATGCCTGGGAAGCCCTTGTAGCTGGTTGAGGTCTGAACGGCCTATATGTAGACGTCGTGGCCTGCTGGTATGCCTGTTGTTGAGGACGAGGACGCCATTGAAATTTGGAGGGTCTAGGCTGCTGTTGTATAGCATAGGATTTTGCTGTTTTCTTGCTTTTGTGCAAGTTCTCCAAATTTTCATCTGTATTTTCACTGAACAGTCCCGAGGCATCAAAAGGCAGGTTCTTAATTCTAGCTTTGATGTCCTCCATTATGCTGGCTGATCGTAGCCATGCATGCCGCCTTAGTGTTATGATAGAGGCGAGGTTTCTAGCATCGGCATCCGCAACATGACACGAAGCCAAACATTGATGCTTGGAGACCATCTGTGCTTCCGCATGAGCATTAAGACATGTTTGCCTAATGTCTTCCGGTGCAACTTGGAGAGCTGGAAGAACCCTTGCCCACAGCTGCTTTTGATAGGCACCCATGGCAACCAAATAATTGAGGGCCCTGAGAGCGAAGGTAGTCATAGAATAAAGCCGTCTGCCGAGTACTTCTAGATCCTTACCTTCCTTATTAGTAGGGGTCGGATGACCCTTGATGGGAAGCCTTGAGGCACTAGACTCCACCACAAGAGAGTTAGGAGCAGGATGTTTCAGAAGGAAGGCGGTTTTGGGTCCATGAACACGGTACATATTCTCCGTACGCCGGGAGAAAGATGTGGAATTCACCGGGTGTTCCCAATATTCTGTAATAAGGTCCATAAGCTCAGGTACATAGGACAAGCTAACAGGACATGACCTCTCCTTGTGAATATCACCGAAGATGAGGTCATCCTCACGGGCAGGTGACTTTTCCACCTCTAACTTCAAAGCAGCAGCCATCCTAGAGACCATCTGTGGGTACGAGAAGAAATCTTCAGAGGGGGAGGAGGGATGGATGTCAGCTGCATCCAACCCCAAAGGTTCTCCAGGGGGCGGACTTTCTAGAGAGGCCTCAGAATCATAGTTATCCTCTTGGTCCGAAGAAGGATGTGAGTCTGGACCACCATCATCCCCAGAAGACTGTAGCACGATGGGTTGATGTGGTGTCTCCCTGGGTTTACTCAATTTATGAGGAGGGGGATTCCCAGGAGGCGGTGCAGGTGCCACAGGAGTAGAGGGAGGCACTACATTCGGCATCGTGGGCTCAGCAGGACATCCATTCGTCGACGGAGAGCGTTGGTCTTTGTTGACACCGGAACGCTTGCGGTGTCGATCTTTCCTCGGGGGCGACGATGAAGAATAATATTGTACCCTCTTCCTCTGTCGCCTTCTGTCTCTCAACGTCGACGAAGACTCGGAGGAGTAATCTCTCTGACGTCAACGCCGGCGGGACCTTCTTCGTTCTAAGCTATCGTCGGAGTCAGAGGACGAATAGTCCCTACGACGATGCTTTTTTCATCTGTCGGCATCGGAAACGCGCTTGCGCTTACGATGTCGCCGGCCTTTCTTCGAAGGGAGCTCCTCCTCCACATCAGATGCTGGGCGTCGAGGAGGGCAAGGTTCGGTAGGCCGCACCGGTCCCTGTGGAGAGGATGGTGGAGACTTAGTGGCCCGCGACTCCGGTGTCGACGACCGTGATCGAGACACCCGCCCGGTCAGAATAGGGCTATCAGGGGCATCGGTCAAGCCAGAAATAATTTTTCCGATCTGGCTTGCCGTTGGAGACCTCTCGGCAACGACAGGCGGTTCCTGTCTCGGCGGGAGAGAGGCTCTGAGATCCGACATGGATTCTCGATCACGAGAGGAGTCTTCCAGAATTGGCAAAGGGAGCGAAGTGGAGATAGGAGGGACCACAAGGGTAATCTCCTTCAACTTTGACTTAACTACTTCTTTCTTCTTTTTCAGGTGTTCTGATGTCGACTGATTGGAAGGTTCAGCTGAAGCCGAGGTAAGTAACTTTTTTGACGAAGCCTTCTTTTTAGACTTGGTCTTGGAGGGTTTGTCTTTGGATGGCTCAGCCGATGTGGATGGGACCACTCTGATCTCTGACCGCACAGAAGAAGTGGAGGGGACTACCTCCATGTCGGAAGGTTGAGATGCCGACAACGTTTGCTTCCACAGCGAATATTTCAGGCGTTGCTGGCGAGCCCTGAGGGTGACTTTTGTGAAATGTTTGCAATGTCTGCAGTGGGAGACCGAGTGCGACTCTCCCAGACAGAACAAACAGAGAGAATGTCCGTCCTGGAAGGGAAGCTTTCTGGAACAGGCGGTGCAGAGTCGAAAGGGTCCTCTCCTCGGAGATGGCGTTTCTTTAGGAGGCATAGACCGACTGGAGAAGAATTCTAAGCAAAGGTAGAGCGTGGGAGCTTGCCTGAGTAAAGCGAACAAGGCTGAGTGAAGGTATCCTGAAGGCGCATGGCAGCTCAACAGGGGCCAATTAGGCTTAATTGGATGAGTTCGGTAGGCGCGTGGCGCCTCAGCAGGAGGCCGGAAAAGGCCTATTAGGCCACACAGGCTCGAAAAGAAGCGCCAGAGGCAAAGAACAGCCAAAAAACCGATCCGAAGTCAGGGCAAAAGTGAGAAGATATGCGATAGTCAGTCCAAGTCAAAAACCAAGAAGGTCAATATAGTAAAATAGTAGAATTTTAGGAGCTCTATCCGAGAGGTTCCAACTTTCGCAAGCGGAAAAATGGAACTGAGCTGTTGGCGGGCGGAGCATGCGCTGTACAGGGCAACCTAAAACATTGTTACTTTTCTATTTCAGCTCTAGAAGATTTGAGACCAGCGCAAGCGCTGTCTTTAGCCACTGGTGTGGATTCATAGAGAACCACGTTGAAGAACTAGCATAAGCCCATTTTGGCCCTAACGACCTCTTCAGAAAGGACACTCCCAGTTAGCAGTGGAGCAGTTTCATTTTGGCAGAGGAAACTAGGGCAGAAATAGGTCTACGTTAGGTCTTTTTTTTTTCTTTTCAGTATTTTTTGATTTTATTTTCAAAACTATTGGGTAATGGAGAAGGAATACAAAAGGCAAAGGGCAGTGGGGGGGAATGGAAAAAGGGTTTTGAGAATAAGAAAACATCAAATGCATAATCATTCAATCTTACATATCAAGTATATAATCTATTCATCTAATCTATTCATGTTCCAATAAAGGTTCATCTTTCTTCTTCTTTTTCTTCTTCTTCTTTTGACTATTTTGTCTATGTATTAACCTCTTTAGCTTTCAACTTACACTTATACTTATAAGTTGTACGCTAGGTCTTGAAGATCTCCCAAACCCAGAAAAAAGGAAAGGAGCCTCCATAAATTTTTCTGAGTAAGTCAGTACAAAGATGTGATAAAAATCTTGTCCACAACCACTCAGAAAGGGTGTAATATTTTAAAAGTAATGTTTTGTAAAATAATGGTTGCCAAATCAATTCAGCCTTGCCATGTATCTCTTAAATTAAAGATCCAATAAGAATAATATTGGTAATGATGAGCACTGATCACAAAATAGGGCTTCATTTTCTAGATACTTTTTCCAAATATTACTGAACATAGAACTATTTCAAATGGTGCAGAAGAAAAAAATGAAACCCATTATCCTTCTATAATGCAGGCACTAACATGCCTCCTTGAAACAGGAAGCTCTTTTCTATACAATCAACCCATAAGAGCTAGAGCTACAATGATGACAATGTCAGGATCATTCACAAATCAAACTGATAACTATCTGGTATCCACATTGTTATTCTCTTTTGATGAGTCACCTGAAGGTGTAGAGTAGTAGAAAAATATGCTGTAGTGTTAACCAAAGTGCAGATGTGTCTCCAGTCTCTCTCACTGGCCCGTTCCCACTAGCTTTGGCTTCCTGGCAAGAACAGGGCAACATCCTGCCTTTGATGTTATTGAGGTTCCCTAACTGTGCTTCAAATATCTTCCCTGTTGTCTTTTTTTTAAAGTCCTCCTTTATATTCTTTCCCAACTGCTATTTTTCTAGTCTGTCATCTCCTATTTCAGATAGATTCTGCAGCCCTTTTCTACAGCAGACTGCCTCTGGATTGATCCTCCTGTCGTTACAGCACTGCAGCTAACTTGGGTCCTAGTCCTAGTTGAAGTTACACTTCAGCTTCAGCTATGCTTTTAACTTAGTGTTGACCATGAATCATTATGTCCTATAATAATATGCCGAACAAAGATCTTATTTTGTCTTATTTTCCTTTGTTTGGTAAACAAATTCCCAAAATTTAATATTTATTTTTTAACCAATTTAAGGATGCTCTGAAGAAATCATGTTCATTGTGTGATCGACACATTGCTGAGTTCATGCAACAAAAAATCCTTTTGAGTAAAAACAAAATATACAAAGAAAAACAGTGCTAAAATACTAACATATGATAATATAGCTGTACTGCAAATATAAGGAAAATAATGTTCAATAATAGTAAAGACTTTTTCCCCCAAATAGTTTCATGCCCCATGAAACAGCTCATCTTGCAGAGGTAATCAAACATCACAAAAACAATGGAGTTCTCTTCAGTGCTGAGAAAGCTGAGGCTAAATTAAAAGCCTCTCCATTGTCACAGAAGACTGATTGTTTTTCTCTGTAAAAATACTACCAGGATAATAATCAAGGATTTTAAATTTCCATGCATGTCAACATTTGCTTTTTCCACAGCTGACCTTCACACATTGGGCAGCATTCCCCAGGCACTTTTACAGGATTCAGGCAACTCTGTCCACATGCTGTGGCCACACAATGAGATTCCCCATTGATACACTGACAAAAAGTGCAGTCATCTTCCCTCCAGCGATCACCATGTGCTTGAATCTGACCATTAGCATAGCAACCAGCAGGGTTACTAACAGGAGAAAGGGAGTCTGAAAAAAAAAAGCAAAAGCAAAAGCAAATAGATAATTTAATCCACATACAATACTTAATATAGTGCTTTAAAAATTCTGAGTATCAGAGTAAGATAAAGAGTAGTACACGATAAGGTCACATTGATATTCCTCTTTTGAGGGATTATATTCTATTTTATTTCCCTTTTATTTACGTAAAAGGTATGCAGATACCTTCAAGGTTAAAACATGGGTGACAAAAGACAAAATTAAATCTGTAAACAAGATTTAAAAACCACAAACTTTATTTATTTATTTATTTATTTATTTATTTACTTACTTACTTACTTACTTACTTACTTACTTATTTAGTACCCCGCCCATTTAGTCGACTACTTTGGGCGGCTAACAACATATGAAATAAACAATTTAAAATACAGTGGTGCCTCGCTTAACGAGCGCACCGTACAACGATGAAATCGCATAGCGATCCCTTTTTTGGGATCGCTAATGCGATCGCTCAATGTTTTTTTAATAGGGCAAAATTCGCTTTGCGAAGACCGGTAAGTGTTTCGCTTAACGATCTTCGCAAAACGAAGCCCGACGATCAGCTGTTCAGCGGCCAAAATGGCCGCCGGAAGCCCGGAAATGGCCCAAAATGGCCACGCGCAGCGTTTTCGTGCCCTCGTTAAGCGAGGGGAGGGCGTGAAAATGGCTGCCGGCCATTAAGAAGCATCGCTGAACGGTGAGTATTCGGCCCATTTGGAACACATTAAACCATGTTTAATGCGTTCCAATGGAATTCCCTGCCCCGTTCAACGATGCTTCAGCATAGCGAAGGTTAATCCGGAACGGATAAACCTCGCTATGCGAGGCACCACTGTATAGGAATAAAATAATACATCAATAGACAAGAACTCAAGATGGAAAAACAAAATAAATCAAGAAATTGCTGGAGGGAAGGCTTGCCTAAATAGCCAGGTTTTCAGTTGGCCTTTGCTAGCTATTTCAACTAGCTAGCATCCTACATACTATGGTACCAAATAAAGCAAGTCAGTTACGTAACATATTGAATCAGTACGTTTTCTGTGTCCGCTTGAACAGCTGTGATGATGGGGGCCTGTTGACTGTTAATTGGAGAAAAGCAGTGTAATTTTGTGCCATGCAGTGTAACTGCTGGGCAGTTAGTTGGGCAGGGGTGGTGGCGGCCCTGCGGGCTAAACCGCAGAAGCCTTTGTGTGCTGCAGGGTCAGAAGACCAGCAATCGTAAGATCGAATCCACACGACGGAGTGAGCTCCCATCGCTTTGTCCCAGCTCCTCGCCAACCTAGCAGTTCGAAAGCATGTAAATGCGAGTAGATAAATAGGTACCACCTTGGTGGGAAGATAAACAGTGTTCCGTGTACAGCCGCTTTGGCCACGTGACAACAGAAACTGTCTTCGGACAAATGCTGGCTCTACGGCTTGGAAACGGGGATGACCACCGCCCCCTAGAGTCGAACACGACTGACTAAAATTTCAAGGGGAACTTTTACCTTTACCTAGCTGGGCACACATGTAGGGCCTCTAATACTGATCTGAGTGTAGGCAGGTTGGTACAGCTAAAGACTGGATTTCAAGTAATACAAACCCAAGTTCCATAAGATACTAAAGTGCTAATAGAAGAACTTTAAACTGAGCTATGATACTCCTCCGCAACTAATGCAAACTGGTATAACAGAAGACCACCTAGCCTCTTAACAGTATTCAAATACTGTAGCTACTTCTTTTACCAGCTGAAGTTTCTGAACTATCTTTGAAGACAACCTCATGATGAGATCTAGACATCTCCAGGGCAGATAATTAAAAGACGCCTGGTCTACTCTGGATAGAGCTGTGCTTGGTAGATCAGCGAAACTAGCAAAATGCAATCTTGGTCAAGGTCACTGCCTTTGCTTGACCTTCGGCAGACACCCCCAAGCCCAGAAAAATTGTGTACTTGGTTTTTCAGAGAGAGTACACCCTATGTAGAACTGGTTGCACATCTGTGAAGACTCTATCATCCATGTGAGATTATCTGGAAGTTGAGTCATGGCAATCACTCAACTTCCAGATAACTGATTGCAAACTTTCACCTGTGTAATAGAATTCTATATACAGTGGTGCCTCGCAAGACGAAATCGCATTACGACGAAATTTTTGCGATCACAAAACGATGTTTCCTATTGGGGAATATCGCTTTGCGATGATCGGTTCCCTGCTTCAGGAACCAATTCTCGCAAAACGACGATTTTCCTACAGCTGATCAGCGGTTTCAAAATGACTGCTGGGTAAAAAAAAAAAATAGCTCCCCGCTCTTTTCTGGGATTGATTCCTCGCTGCATGGGCAGCAAAAATGACCACGCTATGGAGGATCTTCACTGGACGGTGAGTTTCAAGCCCATAGGAACGCATTAATTGGGTTTTAATGCGTTTCTATGGGCTTTTTAATTTTGCTTTACGATGTTTTCGTTCTACAGCGATTTCGCTGGAACGAATTAACATCGTAATGCGAGGCACCACTGTAACAGATTTCATATTATTAATGAAGCTCAGTGGTGTCAAAAAAGTAAACAGTATTCTGAGAGACTGGCTCCATTCCAAAATAGTTTGGCAGGAATTTCAGTTATTAATAAAACATATGGTATTAATCACTGAACTAAGTTTATCTACTTTAAAACCGAATTGTAACAATAATAACATAGAAAGAAAATTACCTTCACATACTGGACAGCATTCTCCTTCTGGTACATAGTATCTGTCACAATGTAACTCACCACACTGTGCTGAGAAACAAATAGATACACCACCTTGGCATCGACAAAACCGGCAAGCATCCATTCGAAACATATCTCCATCATAATACTCCACACTATTAAATACACATGCTGGCTTTGCTTCTGAAAACAGCAAACAGAATGAAAATACTTTTTATGAGTGTTTGGCAATGGTATGCTCAATAGCTCAACTCCTAAAATGTCTTCTATAAGTTTAGCTACTCCTGATTTTATAGGCTTCATTCAAATTTTAGAAATCAGAATTTCTCCTTAGAAAATTTATACCAAAGTACATCCAGTAGTATTTTTGGTTTAGAGGAAACAGCTTTCATTTACTTAGGCACTCATTTTTTGCCAGTCCACTTGTGGGTAAAAATCTATTACAGCTATCCATGCCTTATCTGTCACTGCTCTGGTGGATACCACATTTTTAGAAAAAATATTTTTGTGGAAAGGGGGTGAAGGAAATACTGAGGATCAATGAAAACCAGGCATCTCAGTTGTGCAAATAAAAACACATTCATATCAATCAGGCCACAATACAGAACATCACAATATTGAATTTATCATTTAAAATAATTATCCAAAATTCTTACAGGAATCACTATTGGAATTTGATAAAATTTAAAAGTATACAAAGAGAAGAAAAACACATAATAGCACAAACTATAAGTATTAAGTATAGGTTTATGACAAATACTTAAGGACTACATAGAAACAGGGAAGTACATTTGCACATGGGAAACAATCTCATTTTCAGTTTTCTCCTCAGAACATACTGAAGTACAGCAATTTCAACACAACTGAGGGCCAAGATTCTACTATAGAGGCAAATGAAGGAAAATGTTGCCCCTGGGCTAGCAGTTGAACATTGCAGAGCATGCTGTATACATCTAGAGACAGAGATATAAAAAGAATGTTAGTTGCAGACGAACAGGAGAAAGATTATCTTGCTCTTATATAAAGAAAGCCACCACTTATCCTGGAGATAGCCATGGCTTTCATCACACCTCAAAAGTCCATTTAAAAAAAAGGAGTGGTGGTGGAGGGAAGCTTGAGGTTCTGTATCAAAGTGCTTGTGACTACACATTTCCAGTAGAAACATAACCGCGGAATTCTAAGGAATAATTTCTTTTGCTGGCTGAAATGTAATACAAACTTTCATAACCTTTCTAACAGTTGCTCTTGCCATCTGTCTGAGCCTAAAAGGATATGTCAAAACTAATTCTGCTTTTTTATAGTGCAAACACTCACTGAGTCAGAAAAAAGACTCTACAGAAATAAAATACCTTTAAATACCACTGGTTTTAAGTGTCTCCCCATCTAGAAAATATTTATTTATCTTTTATAAACCTAACCAACCAAGCCTTTTGCAGCTTTATGTGGCTGAATCATACATACAATAGCTGATTATTTAACCAATTCATTTCATTATTTCAAAATTATCAGCTTCTGATTAAAACAGCATACAGTGGTTGGGAGTTAAAAAAATGTGATGGTAAAAACACAAATGACCAAAGACTGCATGAAGGGAGAAAAGTTGAATCTTGTTTCCACGGTCCTCAAGAAACGAACAGAGGCACATGCCCCTTACACAATACAAAGACAAGAACAGGTGAAATCTTTATTAAAACTCTTTTTTGGCCTACATTAGTCTCCAAGAGTCTTTGCACCATAATACCGTGGTTAGTGAAGACAAAAAGGGAGGAGGAAATACTGAATACCTACCAGCCCTCTGTCTGATAAGATGGGAGATATAAACCATCCAATGGCCACCTGGGGTGGAACTGGAAATCTACACTCCTGACTTGTATTTGCAGCCTGCATTCTGGAACTCACTTTTAAGAAAAATACCTGGCATGGGCATCTGCCATAATTTGGGGGATTTTCTTATTTTTCTTTCTGCATTATCCATAATTTATTGGTGCATAGCATGATGAAATCTTGTTGTTTAGTCCTTAAGTCGTGTCTGACTCTTCGTGACTTCATGGACCAGAGCACACCAGGCCCTCCTGTCCTCCACTGCCTCCCAGAGCTGGGTCAAATTCATGTTGGTAGCTTCAATGACACTGTCCAACCATCTCATCCTCTGTCGTCCCCTTCTCCTCTTGCGTTTACACTTTTCCAACATCAGAGTCTTTTCCAGGGAGTCTTCTCTTCTCATGAGATGGCCAAAGTATTGGAGCCTCAGTTTCAGGATCTGTCCTTCCAGTGAGCACTCAGGGTTGATTTCCTTCAGAATGGATAGGTTTGTTCTCCTTGCAGTCCACGGGACTCTCAAGAGTCTCCTCCAGCACCACGATTCAAAAGCATCAATTCTTCGGCAGTCAGCCTTCTTTATGGTCCTGCTCTCACTTCCATACATCGCTATAGGAAAAACCATAGCTTTGACTATGCAGACTTTTGTTGGCAAGATGATGTCTCTGGTTTTTAAGATGTTGTCAAGGTTTGTCATCGCTTTCCTCCCAAGAAGCAGGCATCTTTTAATTTTGTGGCTGCTGTCATCATTTGCAGTGATCATGGAGCCCAAGTAAAATCTGTCACTGCCTCCATATATTCCCCTTCTATTTGCCAGGAGGTGATGGGACTAGTGGCCATCATCTTAGTTGTTTTTGATATTGAGCTTCAGACCATTTTTTGCGCTCCCCTCTTTCATCCTCATTAAGAGGTTCTTTAATTCCTCCTCACTTTCTGCCATCAGAGTGGTATCATCTACATATCGGAGGTTGTTGATATTTCTTCCGACAATCTTAATTCCCGCTTAGGATTCCTCCAGTCCAGCTTTTCGCATGATGTATTCTGCATAGACATTAAATAAGCAGGGAGACAATATACAGCCTTGTTGTACTCCTTTGATGTATTCTGTGTAGAAGTTAAATAAGCAGGGAGACAATATACAGCCGTGTTGTACTCCTTTCCTAACTTGAACCAATCAGCTGTTCCATATCCCGTTCTAACTCTTGCTTCCTGTCCCACATATAAATTTCTCAGGAGATCGATAAGGTAGTCAGGCTTTCACATTTCTTTAATAACTTGCCATAGTTTCCTGCGGTCCACACAGTAAAAGACTTTTGCATAGTCAATGAAGCAGAAGTAGATATTTTTCTGGAACTCTCTGGCTTTCTCCGTAATCCAGCACATGTTAGCAATGTGATCTCTAGTTCCTCTGCCCCTTCGAAATCCAGCTTGTTCTTCTGGGACTTCTCAGTCCACATACTACTGAAGACTGCCTTGGAGGATTTTGAGCATAACCTTGCTAGCGTGTGAAATGAGTGCAATTGTATGGTAGTTGGAGCGTTCTTTGGCACTGTCCTTTGGGATTGGGATGTAGACTGATTTTTTCCAGTCCTCTGGCCACTGCTGAGTTTTCCAAACTTGCTGGCATATTGAGTGTAGCATCTTAACAACCTCATCTTTTAAGATTTTAGATAGTTCTCCTGGAATGCCATCCCCTCCACTAGTCTTGTTGTTAGCCCATGCTATCTAAGGTCCACTTAACCTCACTCTCCAGGATGTCTGGCTCAAGGTCAGCAACCACACTATCTGGGTTGTCCGGGACATCCAGATCTTTCTGGTATAATTCCTCTGTTTATTCTTGCCACCTCTTCTTGATGTCTTCTGCTTCTCTAAGGTCCCTACCATTTTTGTCCTTTATCATATCCATCTTTGTACAAAATGTTCCTTTAAAAGCTCCAATTTTCTTGAACAGATCTCTGGTTTTTCCCTTTTTATTGTTTTTAACTCTGCACTGTTCATTTAAGAAGGCCCTCTTGTTTCTCCTTGCTATTTGGACGTCTGTATTCAATTTTCTGTAACTTTCCCTATCTCCTGTGCATTTTGTTTCCCTTCTATTCCCTTTGTAAAGCCTCTTTGGACAGCCACTTTGCTTTCTTTCCTTTTCTTTGGGGTAGTTTTTGTTGCTGCCTCCTGTACAATGTTATGAGCCTCCATCCATAGTTCTTTAGGTACTTTGTCCACCAAAATTGAGTTTCTTAAATCTGCTCTTCACTTCCACTGTGTATTCATAAGGGATTTGGTTTAGATTATACCTGACTAGCCCAGTGGTTTTTCCTAATTTCTTCAGTTTAAGCTTGAATTTTGCTATAAGAAGCTGATGATCAGAGTCACAATCAGCTCCAGGTCTTGTTTTTGCTGAGTGTAGAGTTTCTCCATCTTTGGCTGCAGAGAACATAATCAATCTGATTTTGGAATTGCCCATCTGGTGATGGCCATGTGTAGAGTCGCCTCTTGTGTTGTTGGAGAAGGGTGTTTGTGATGACCAGCTTGTTCTCTGGACAAAACTCTATTAGCCTTTGCCCTGCTTCATTTTGAACTCTAAGGCCAAAGTTACTTGTTCCTTTTATCTCTTGACTCCCTACTTTAGCATTCCAGTCCCCTATAATGAGAAGAACAACTTTCTTTGGTGTGAGTTCTAGAGGGTGTTGTAAGTCTTGTAGTCAGAACTCTCCACTATGACCTGTCTGTCTTGGGTGTCCCTGCATGGCAAAGCCCATAGCTTCTCTGGATTACTCAAGCCCATTTGCTATGACAAGGCAGCAAACCGTGAAGGGCCTAGCAACTTTATTTATTTAGCAGTCTAACAAAGGTATTACCTACCCTTACTTTTGTATAGCCCTCAGGAGACTGTCCCGCTGAGACTATTTATTCTAAAGGGATTGGAGTGAAAATTCGTCATTGTTATCTCTAAAGAGTAACTGAAGATATATTTCCCCTTTGCCACTCACCCTCTCAGGTGGGAGGCAGAGTGGTATAGAAAGACAATATCACTCAGCCGGGCTTTGTGGGCACTAAATGAAAGTCGTTCATTCCTTTTCCTCCTTTCTCACAGAGGAAAGAGGTAATAAGACTGGATTCCTATCCAGAACACCAGATCTAAATGCTCAACTGCTGCTTTGGCTGGGGACCAGTAATGTTAGTAGGTGGCAACTGATTACACTTCCTGGAATGAGTTCTGAGCAAGCATTGTGTCACTCTAAAATGTGGACAGACACAGCAGAGTCTTGTGCCACTATGAAACAGAGGCAACACTTATTTTTGCTCTTTTCACTGTAGTAAGTACTAGAGTTAATCTCCTCCCCATAACATTCTACATCTATCCAACA